TTTTCCTTTTTATGCTTCTCTTGAGTCTTGTATTTGAAAGTTAGATTTTCTATTCTGCTCTGGTCTTTTCATCAAGATTGCTTGAAAGTCCTCTACTTCATTGAATATCCATTTTTTCCCTTGAAGGATTATACTCAGTTTTGCTGGATGGGTGATTCTTGGTTGTAATCCAAGCCCCTTTGCCCTCTGGAATATAATATCCCAAGCCCTCTGATCCTTTAATGTAGAAGCTTCTAAATCTTGTGTTATCCTGACTATGGCTGTGTGATATTTGAATGTTTCTTTCTGACTGCTTACAATATTTTCTCCTTGAGCTCTGAAATTTGGCAGTGATATTCCTGGGAGTTTTCATTTTGAGATCTCTTTCAGAAGGTGATCAGTGGATTCTTTCAATTTCGATTTTACCCACTTGCCCTTGATAATTTCTTGATAATTTACCCATTTGCCTTTGATGATTCTTAAACTTTTTTTTTTTTTCATGGCTTTCAAGTAGTTTAATAATTCTTAAATTAGCTTTCCTGAATTTATTTTCCAGATCAATTGTTTTTTCCAATGAAATATTTCCAATTTTCTTCTATTTTTTCATTCTTTTGATTTGTTTTATCACTTCTTGATGTCTCATAGAGTCATTAGCTTCCACTTGCCCAATTCTGATTTTTAAAGAATTATTTTCTTCATTAAGCTTTTGTGCTTCCTTTTCCATTTGGCTAGTTCTGCTTTTTAAGGAGTTTTTCTCTTCAGTGAATTTTTGTATATCTTTTTCCATTTGGCTTATTCTGCTTTTTAGGGAGCTCTCTTTATTGAATTTTTGTGCCTCTTTTATCATTTGGCCTATTATGTTTTTTAATGTTATTTTCTTCAATTTTTTTTATGTCTCCTTTATTAAGCTGTTGGCTTTTTTCCATGATTTTCTTGCATCACTCTCATTTCTCTTACCATTTTTTCCTCTCCTTCTCTTATTTGAGTTTTAAAATCCTTTTTGAGTTCTTCCAGGAATTCTTTTTGGGCCTGAGACCAATTCACATTCTTTTTTGAGGCTTTGGATGTAGCAATTTTGACTTTGTTGTCTTCTTCTGAGTTTGTGTTTTGATCTTCCCCATTCTCCATAGTGACCTTCTGTAGTTAGGAGCTATTTTTTTGTTGGTTAGCTCATTTTCCAGCCTATTTTTTTACTTTTAGCTTTATATTAAAGTTGGTCTCTGCTCCCAGGGTGGAGGGGATACTGTCCTAAGCTTCAAGATTTTTATGAAGTTGTTTTCGGAGCTAGTTCTGGGGATCTATAAGCTTTCAGTTCTTCCAAGGTGATATGATATAAGGAGAGGTGTGTTTACTACTCTTCTGGCCTGTGCTTTGATCTTTGAGTGACCACAAACACTCTTTTCTGCCCTGGCACTGTGACCAGAGTCTTGGCCCCACTATGGTCACAAGCTCTGGTGTGCTAGTGCTCCTCTTCACCCTGGGCCTGTCACCCAGGGTGACACATCTAGATTGGATTGTGGATAATGCAACAGAGTCCTGCATCCAGTGCCAGTAAAGAGATTCCTCTAATTTCCTTCTGACTCCCTTACTGTCTGTGGGCTAAAAGTTCTAGAAGTAGCTGCTTTGGCAGCTGATTCATTTACCACCACCACCCCCCCCAACCCCCAAGGCTTGTTGCTGGTTTGCTGTGGCCTGTGCTGGACTGCACTCCACTGTCACCCCACCCCTGTGTGACAGACCTTTCCTGCTGACCTTCTAAATTGTCTTGGGCTAGAAAATTGTTTCACCCCATTCTTCTGTGGTTTCTGACACTCCAGAATTGGTTTTGAGGCATTATTTAAAGTTTTTTGGAGGGGAATTTGAGAAAGCTCAGGCAAGTCCCTTCCTTTTCTCTACCATCTTGGTTCTACCCCCCACCCCACACACCTCCAGCAAGGTAACTTGTCTGTCATCTTAACCAAAATGGGAAGGAGGCCATTTCAGGGAAAGAATATTAAATCAAATTCTATTCAGAGATATCTTGTGATATTTCCTAGAGATTTCTGTGTAATAGCATCGTTTATGTCAGGGCACAAATCCTAAGGTGGAACAGGGGAAAGGAAGTGTTAGTTTCAAAAGAATGTGCTGAACACAGTCATTCTCAGCTGTTGCTGGGAGGGCTGTGAAACCAAATCACAAAGTTCTAAATTCATTTGGTTGGATGAGCTTCTGAGTTAATGTAATCAGTCATCAAAGCACTCATAAAGAAATTCCCAGAGCTCGTAGGATTATTTGTGAAGAGCATACAAGGTAGTGGAATGACACTAAATATTGTATATATGTACAATGTCTTTTTATTATTATTATTATTTGTGTACAATGTATGAAAAAGTGATACTTTTAGTTAGCATTGTGATTTTAAAATAATGTAAAAAGCAAATTCTTCTTTGAGTAGTATGAGGATGAAGAAGTCAAAGAAAAGGCCCCGGGCATTTCCAGGCCTACATGCTAACCTTGTTAAAGATGAAATTGAAGCATTTTAGGACAATTGATTTGCAAATGGGGTTTTAAGGTTGATAACATAATATGTGTAAAAAGAAAATAATGAACCTTGAAGTTAATAATAATTATCTCTTAAGCTTTTTATAACACTTACCTCATTAGATTTTCACAATAGTCCTGTGACATAAGTAAGGCCAACATTATTACTCCTGGTTTTACTGATTAGGAAACCTAGGCATTAAATGATTTGTGTAAGGTTCAGTAGTTGTCAAGTTGTGAAGCTGGCACTTGAACCCAGGCCTTCTATTCTATATCCCAGGTTCTTTCCACTTAATTAAGCTAAGAGGGCCTCTAAGTTGCTGAAATGCTATTAGGGAGATTTGGGGTCAGATTGTAAGACAGTTTAGACATTTTTAGACTATATGTTATAAGGCTTTTGTCTTTCCTTGACCCCAAATCATGACAATGTATATGGCCCTAAGATGTTTATATAGCTCTGAAACTTTTAAAAGGTCTTTTATAAGACTCCCAGGAACTAGAAGAGAGCATCAGGAATAGGGTTGCAGAGACTAGAGGATCTTGTCTTTATTACCTTGTAATTTTCTGGTTCTCAGAGGACACTCTGTCCTCTTGTGCCAGTTACAGAAGGACTGTGATGATGAGCTAGGTCTAGGCTAGCTCTGTCTTGAATCCATATCCCCAAAGAATGCTCAGGTCCCCTGAGAAAGCAGGTAGGGGTGTAAGGTGGTTTTAAATATGGAAGCACCTGAAACTCAGATTGCCTCTTATTTTGTTCTTAACCATCTTGTTCTGCCAAGGGGCCTAGTCTGACCCTTTGCTTGGAATACACTCTTCTCTCACTCTCACCTTTGACTCTTAGAATCTGTAGTTTCTTTCAAGGTTTAGCCAAAGGCCACTCTTTTACATGAAGGCTTTCCTGATTTCTTACCCTTTCCCCTTCTCCATTCCCAATTGCTAGTGCCTTTTCCACAAATACTTTTCTGTGTATACATACATGTATATAGATGTAGATGTGTACATACATACCCATGTGTGTTACTTTCCCTAATAGAATGGAAGCCCATTGTGGTCAAGGACAGTTTCACTTTTGTCTTCATACTCTGCACGCCTAGCACTTAGTGAGTACTTAATAAATGCTTGTTGATTGATTGGCAGACCAGTTAGGAGACATAGGAACTTCTTCTAAAGCTTTCAGAAGGAAGTATCCAAAAGACACCACTAGGAGAAATAAAGTATGGCGGTGGAAAAGTGTGTTGTTTGTAGCCAGGCTTCATTTTCTAAAAACATCATTGTTGATGAATGATAATAATAACATTTCACATTTATATGACTTCTGACAAATAGAACTGATCCTTTCTGAGTGGTTGACAATGGTGTTTTGGAGGATTGGGGGAAAATTTCCTTTGTATCTGAAGAAATAAGTGGGGATAAAAGTCTAAGTTGTTTAGGTACGCAAGTGACTTCATCACAGCAATGAGTTTATGGTAATAACATCTTTAAGTGCTTTGCATGTTAGAATGTTCTTTCACATATATTATTAATAGCAACCTTATGAGGTAGAGCTATTATAATCTCCATTTTTAGATGAGGAAATTGAGGCTCAGAGTAGTGGTAGAGATGAGAATTCAAACCCAGGCCTTTCAACTCTGAATTTAGCACTCTTGTCATTACACCCTGACTACATGGAACATATCCTGCATAGCCATCAGGAATCCTTTTAGGATTTAGAATGAGTTGGCTTTCCTACATAGGAGTCAAATACCATTGTCCCAGGTCTACTAAGGAGAACGTGCCTATGAATAGCTAGATTTCATTGCACTCTCACTCTGTCCTTCTCCCTAAAGCAACTGGGTTTTCTCTGTCTTTAAGGACAAACTGCAAAGTGGAAGTCTGCCACCTCTCTCTTTCTTTAAAAAAAAAAAAGGCTTTGCAAGATTAGAGTAGGTCCTTCAACTAGCACTTGGGTAAATGTTTGAAATACTGTTGCTTTTATTTATTATTCTATACACCTCCCTTCTCTACTAGGTTCCAGAAGGCCCAGAAATGACTTATAAAGTCAAGAGACCTGGGTGTGAATCCTGGCTCCTAGATGGGTAACCATTGGCAAGCCTCAGTTTTTGTATCTGTAAACTCAAGACAATGGTATTTGTGCTGTCTACTATGAGGTTGTGGCAAAGAAAGGGCTAAAGCTTTGAACCCTATAAGGCTCAAATGATGATGATGATGATGATGATGATGATGATGATGATGATGATGATGATGATGATGATGGTGATGATTATTAGTGGTGGTGGTGGTAGTGGTAGTAGTAGTAGTAATGTTGGTGGTAATGGTAGCAGTAGTTGTAGTTGTTGTAGCAGTAGTAGTAGTAGTAGTAGTAGTAATTTTCAGGACTTTGAAGCAGTGGAAAGTAAATATATATCTTTAAGCCTTATTAGGGATTCCTACTATGCCACCTGCATGTGTCCTTTTTTGCTTGCCAGAGCTAAACTAAATAGCTTCTTTTGTCTTTATTTCAGCATCTACATCATGGGCTTGGTCCTGGAATGGATTAAGAACAATGGTGGTGCCAAGGCTATGGAGAAACTTAGCCTAATCAAATCACAAATGATTTATGATATCATTGATGAATCGCAAGGATTCTATGTGTAAGTTGATATGATCTTGTTTTGTGTTTTTGTGTTTTTGTGTCCCTTGTTCATTTGAAAGTATATGTGTGTAATACCACATCATTCATTTGACGTTAATGTCATCACTGGCATTAATATCATTAATGACAAGCATTTTTTAATTGAGTGCCCACAATCCTCTGGGGAGAAAAGGATTAATCAGTTTCCTCCTAGATTTTCTGAGATGTTAGAAAATCACCCTTGTCAAGTTGTTTAGCTCTATCACCACTTGAAGTTCTGTAATTTCTACCAGAGGTGAGCATTAGAATTTGTGCTATTTTTCTGTGTTCATAGGATTTTTTTCCCTTAAAATGAAAAGAATTCATTAAATTCTCCTACTTATCATAATTCCTATGTTTGGCAGAAAATACTTCTGCAAATAAGTGATTTTGTGGTAAATCAGCATTCATAGTAGGAAAAGAAAAGGGGAGAAGGAACCCATATATAAAACTTATCTATTCAAATGAGATTTATTGAATGATTTTTTTTTTTCAGCCAACAGGGCCCTGCACCAGGATGGCTGGAGACAATTGTTGTTGTTAAGTTATGTCCGACTCTTAGTGACCTGGTATGGGGTTTTCTTGGCAAAGATACTGAAGTGATTTGTTATTTCCTTCTCCAGTGGATTAAAGCAAATAGAGGTTAAGTGATTGCCCTGGGTCACAGAGCTAGCGAATGTCTGAGGCCAGATCTGAACTCAGGTCTTCCTGACTCCGGGTCCAGTGCTGTATTCACTGAGCTACCTAGCTGCCCTCTCACTGCCATCTATGTAGGAGATAGGGGTACTATCAATCTCCACATTTGTATCAAACCAACCTATGGGAAGGAAGGTGGAAGGGGAGAGAGGAAGGCAGAAGTTCCAAAAATGGCATCTTAGCTTTCCTCTTTTGTATAGGAAAGCTCCCATCTCTAGTATATATTACTGGTGTAGTGTGTTACCAATTTTCCTCAACTTCCTAGGGATTCTAAGGAAGTGAGTGATGGGGAAGTAAGGTGTTCATATGTTACATCCAAGACAAAATCCATGTTTTGTGAACATTGTAATTGGTTAATAGTTTGAGGGAGGAAGAAAGAGAAATGGGAGAGACTCTGATTCAGTCCAGCCCAGGACTGACTTTGGACTTGTTCAAATAGAGATTAGGACATTTATCTCTTATGGCCTTGACTGGATTCTGTGAAATGTTCCCAGCCCCCAGAGGCTTGTTTTTATGTGTTGGTGGCCATGATCTTATAAGATGCTGTGGCAAAACCAAGGAGAGGAGAGGGGGCACATCCCAGGTTTAGGGTACAGGCAGCTAATACTAAGGCTCAGAAGAAAATGTTCTGCTCGAGGACAAACTAGGCCAATTTTGGCTGCACATAGATTACCTGGAGGGGATTAATGAGGAACGAACCTGAAAAGGTAAGGATAAGCTGAAGCCAGGTCACAAAGGGCTTTAAATTTGAAACAAGAGCAGTTTCTTATTATACTATAATGGGAATGAAGCTAATGTGCCCACATTTCCTTCATCCATAGCATCGGACAGGAAACATCACCTATTTAAGACTAAAATGTCACTAAATTTTTTTGAAAGGAAGATTATTTAAGTTAAATTGATAATGGTGTTTGAACATCTACTTGTCATTTTAACACATTTTCTTGTGTTCCATTGCCAGCAAGCAAAAGTAATCAGAGAACAGATTCTTGTTAACATAACCAGCAAATGCATTTTTTTCTGGTATCACAAACTACTATAGCTGTATTGGATTAAAGGGCATTTTTAATAGAGCTTTCTCTTCCCCTCATCACTAATGCCACACTGCTTTCAAGGGCTTGAAGTAATACTGAATGAATAAACAAATGAAGAAGTATTTATTGAGGGCTTACTATGTGTCAAGAACTGTGTTCTAAGCACTTGGGATACAAATGGAAAAAGTGAGATCAATTATACTCCCAAGGGGCTCATTCTTTAATTAGGAGATAATGCATAAAAAAGTGGCAGGGGGTCAATATCTGGGCCAATATCATGGCAATGCCCAGGGGTCTTTAGGGTACATCAACCAGTAAGATGGCAGTGCCCTGTGGGTAGAAGGGCATACCAACAGGGCAGATGGTAAGGTCCAAAAGACCTTAGGATGAGGTGGCAAGGTAGTTTGCAAGGCCTGGTGGTTTTCCATCTTACCAGAAGGCTTATTCCTAGCTTGACGTTGGAAGCCTTGTCAATTTTCCTTCTCAGTTGCCCTAGATGGTGCCTTGGTAGCCTGAGGGATAAAAAGATTGGGACTGGGAAAAATAGACATCAATTTTGTTTTTATTATGCAGTTGTCACTGTTGTTGTATAGAGTATCTTCTTAGCCATTATTTTTCTCAAATGGATCTGTGATCTCATTAATATGAGTTAGATCATAACCCATCCATTCTTGGCCCTCCCATGCTACTCTTTTCCAAGCCCTCTCTTTAGTTCACTATAGGATGTGTACTCAAGAATCTGGGCATCTACTTAATTATCTTTGGATGACAGTGATGATGTTGATTTATTTATGGTGCTTGAAGCCATAAAGTTAGTTTACCAACTTTCTGTTTAATATACCATTATGATTTATTCATGCATGGACTCTCCAGTTTGTAATAACAATATCATAAAATTCTATGACACTTTAAGATTTACAAAGCACTTTTAGCATAACAATGCCATAAGACAGTTGATTCAAACATAATTATTCCTCCTTTGAATTTGAGGAAGCTGAAGGCCAGAGAGGTTAAGGAGCATATCCAGGCTTCCATGACTAGTAAGAATCAGAACCAGAAATTCTGAGGCCAATACCAGTGCTCTTTCCATTATGTTAGGATTTTATAGATTATCTACAGCAGATTTTTAATCTGAGTTTGGCATCTCCTACTACTGGAATGTTTCTGGGCTGTTGGCATCTCATGTGTAAACAGAGAAATGAAGGTGAATTTAGCAATTAATCAAATTAAATCAAATCAAATTAAAAACAGTGATGCATTCTGAAACCATTTTCTTTTGTGGGAAGGGAAGATGGGCAGGAATAATGTGTGCCAAAGCTGCTCTTCTTGCCCTAAGTTCATATAATCAATTATGTTGTAAGAGGAAAAGCACCTTAATCTTAAAGAAAACCATCACAGAACTACTTGTGGGTTTCCATTTGCAAAGGGGATAGTAATGGGAGTGGAAAGCCTGTCAACAACATTTACCTGAAGAGATAACAAAACTTTGGCCATCTGCCTGGCCTCTTTGTAATGGCCAAGTAGACAAGACATCTTGCATAAAGTAGGACTAAGAAGAGGGAAGAAACAGGAAAAGTTGGTTTGGAGAGAAGGGCATGGGAAAAAGTTAAGATAGAGGAAAAAGGGTAAGATGAAAAGGTGTAACAAACACAAAGGAAGTCAAGCTTGTGATACAGCTGAGAATACAGGATGCCTCTCACCACCAAGGATGTGTCCTTGGAGAAAACAAAAAAACAAAAACAAACTTAATTTTTCCCTCTAAGACAGAGGTTCTGAAACTAGAGTCATAGATACCAATTTTATTTTTATTATGCAGTCATCATTGTTGTTGTATAGAGTATCCTCTTTGCCATGATTGTATTCAGATGGATCTGTGATCTCATTAACCCATCCATCCTTGGTCCTCCTATGCTACTCTTTTCCAGCCTCTCTCTTTAGTTCACTATAGTGACTCTATGCAAATGGACTAGGGAATGATTCTGGGAAAAGGCAGACATCTTGGGAAAAGGTAGAAAAAAATGAGATTTAAAAAGAATAGCTAAAGCTAAAAGGGAGGGGAACATCTGAGCATCCTTTTTTCCATTATACACTTTAACAGTTAGACTGCAGCTAGGACATTCTTTCTCTCTCTCTCATTTGTGAGGCAATTGGGGTGAAGTGACTTGCCCAGGGTCACACAGCCAGTGAGTATCGTGTCTGAGGCCGGATTTGAACTCAAGTCCTCCTGACTCCAGGGCCGGTACTCCATCCACTGCACCACCTCGCTGCCCCGACATTCTTTCTCTGGTAGACATTTGTCAATTCAAGTTCAGGACATGAGACAGTCTCCTGAGATCTTTGTTCCCTTAGGACATCCCCTCCCCTTGAGGTTTCTGTACCTATAAATAGTGTTATCCTAGGGTTCATTTCATCTCATATAGAATAAACTATAAGCACCTCTTTTCAATTTCTAAGCATTCCTGCCCCAAGAATTTTTATTTATAACATTAATAATAAATAACAGTTGACATTTGTATATTACTTTAAAGTTAGTAAAGCGTTTTACGTCCTTTATCTCATTGTGGCATCATAGCAACTCTGTGATATTAGTGCTGAGGGCGTCATTATTGCCATTTTACAAATGAAGAAACAGATTCAGAAGTTAAGTGACTTGCCCAGGGTTACACAATCAATAAGTACAAGGTAGGATTTCAGACCTGGATCTTTCTGAATGCAAATTCACCACTCAATCTCCTATGCCAATATATACTCAATATATTCTTGCAAAATTTTTCTTCTGATAAAAACAGATTGCAGTTGTTGATGTCACCTTAAAATGACCAGTGCTTAACTTCCTGGCAACTCCTCAGTGTTTTCCTTGCATCTACTGAGAGCTGTTCTGAAATTTTCTCTTTTACTCCTGTCTAGAAGACAATACAGGTGATCTAGCCCCTAAGAGAGGGATGGACAAAATGTGCTTTAACCCAGAGGTTGAAAATCAGACTTTTGGATAAGATAAGTTATTGTAGGCGCAATCAACACCCCTTCTTGCTGTTGATTTTTTTTGTTTAGGAAAGAGAGTCTATGCTCCATCCTGATTTTTTTTTCCAGCCAACAGGGCCCTGCACCAGGATATTCTGAGTACCAGATCTTCCATTTTGTCTTCACAATAATTCCTCTGCACCTGTGCCAGTCTCTTGGCCAGGATTATGGGACCAGAACCCAGAACATAGCAGGAGCAGTGTGAAGGGTCTATTTCCCAAACCTAAAT